AGTGCTGCTGAATCCTTTGTGTTTCACTGATTAAGAAAATTGAATTATAGAATTAAATAAGTACAGAGCAGAGGTTGTATGCCGGTGGCCGTGAAAACCATACCATACCTTACCAACTTTATTTATAAAGAAGTTTGAAAACTTTACAGCTGGCCAAAGTGCTGTACACAAACACAGGACAGACAAGGACAGTCGCAGTACAAGACAATACACAATACAAACACAATACAACTACTAAAAACACAGACAACAATATGATACTCAACAACAAGAAATGTACATGTTACTTGTTAAAAACCAGTGAAACAAGGCACGCTTTTAGGAGTGATTTAAAAACAGGTACAGACTCCGCCCGTCTAATTTCTAATGTCAAATATTTCCAGAGCCTTGGAGCAGAAACAGAAAACGTACATTGCATCTCCATGAAGCTTGCATTTAGTCTTTGGGATGGCGAGTTGGAGCTGTTCTGCTGACCTGAGAGTGCGAAAGGGGGCATCAGGGTGGATCAAGTCAGTGCACTTGGCCATGCAAATAATTAAAAGTAAATAAAATAATTTAAAAATCAACTCTAAAAAACACTGGGAAAGAGCTGATCCGGATGAGCAGAGGTGGGACCAAATCTTTGTTTTGCAAGTCTCAAGTAAGTCTCAAGTCTTTGAACTCAAGTCCGAGTCAAGTCTCAAGTCAGATAAAGTCAAGTCCAGGTCATCTGCTTTGAGCTTCAAGTCAGTTCATGTCTTTAAACAAAAGTACCAAATATAGCTTACATTTTTGCAATTTATATGAATTTCAAGATAAATTGTACTTAAAAATCATAGTATATTTGTAAATGAGCATTTATAGAGCATATAAGAGTTGTAGAAATTAATTTAGTTAATTTTTCCTTTTCAAATGTTTTGTCAAAATATTTGTGTGAATTATTACAATCAGAATAGAAAGAATTCAGTTTTAAAAGTGTTTCTCAAGTCATCTCGGGTCGCAGGCCTCACATCTCAGTCAAGTCCCAAGTCATTGACCTTCAAGTCCAAGTCGATTCCCAAGTCTTAGTCCATTTTATCAAGTCCTAAAAATAGTGACTCAAGTCTGACTCGAGTCCAAGTCATGACTTGCAAGTCCCCACTTCTGCTGATCAGTAATATGACGTCTTAAAAATAAGTGATTAAAGATGACACAGACATGCATGAATCACTCCAAATACAACTCTTTCAACATGTTCTATTGTATTTATTGACATGAGCCTGTAAATCCTATAAAATGTATTAAATGTATTGTAATATTCCTAAAGTGTGCACAAGCTTTATCAAGAGCTACATTGTACTTGCAGTTACAATGACACACACATGAGCAAACACAGACAAAAATATTTTAAGATTGTCTGAAAACTCAACTGGGACACAGGTGTAGGTTTGTTTTCTCACCCCTTTCTGGTCAGATTGTGTTAAAATAAAGTTTAAATTAAGTCTAACAGAGCTTCTAACAGAGCAGTGCCCATAGTTTGCTTCAAATCTCCAAAAAAAATGTTCATCAGCTGCAAAGTATCAACAAATTCATGCTTAAAGGTGCACAGTGTAACATGAAAATCTCAAAAATAAGTGATTAAAGATTACCCACACATGCATGAATCACTCCAAATACAATTTCAGGTGAGCAAATGGCGTATTTTAATATTTATTTTAAACTAAAATTTCAAAGTAGAACAGGTAACAGTGCGTAAAATCCTGTTTGTGAGAAGCCAAGGATTTTTTTGTTACCATGAACTCCTTCAACTCATCACACGTGTTCTATAAAGCCTGTAAAATGTATTAAATGTATTGTAATAATCCTAAAGTGTGTTCAGAGCCTCAATTTACTACTTCTAAATCAATAACATGAAACAAAGCATGAAAAACTGCAGTCAAAGCACACCTTTTTATATGTATTTCCATGCACCTCTCCTTGCGCATATGTTTCATTGGGTCTGTCCATCTCTGACTCAGCACATCGGGCCTTAGGGAGCTCTTTTATTACCTAATCCAGTTTGGGAGATGAATCCTTCCTATAATCTAATAATCCCACAGCCATATACATGAAAGTCTGACCTTAGTTTTAACACGGGGCAGAACAAATGAAAATAACACCCACGTATACTCTATTATTCCTGTCCCAATAATTGCTGCTGTGAAAAGATCAAATTACCTCTCACACGTCTGCCTAATGGGTGGATATTAAAGGTGTCCACTCAGAGTATTTTAACGCTGGTTCTATGAATAAACGCTCGGACAAGTATTGTATTGTGTTGTGTTGTATTATAGTCTGAAGTCAATGTTCTGTTCTTATTATAGCAGCAGCAGTATGAGTCAGACCATCACAGTACTGTAGACATGTCCAAGCCCGCTCTGCACCGCCAAGTCATTTAAATGGAAAAATGTCATATACTGTCTTCATAGATTATATTATAGACAAAGTTTAAATGTCACCATATACACAAATTAAAGACCATTTCTCCAGCAATAAAACTTAAAATACTTAACTTTCTACTGTATATCTAGCCAAAGAAATGATGTGTTAGAGTTTGTGGTGCTTGGTCCTGGTTTGGTACCAGTTTAATCCTGGTGTAGATCTAGTTTTAGTCCTATATACTACTAGGGATGTAACAATATCGTGATATCGTATTGTCAAAGTTCTAACAGTAATATCGTGGACCATCACAATATATGGAATTACAAGTCTCTTTGCTTAAATGAAGAGTTATGGTGCAGCAATAGCTAAAAAAGACAGAGGGAACTACATAGACCATGATCCTTTGCTCTATTTCAGTGTAGACTACAAGAAGAAATAACAGCACTTTTAAACCTTAGTTCACTAGCCAGAACCACACCAACAACGATATAGTGCAAAGAAGTTTGTTGATAATGTACAAGCGGGGCAGAGATGGTTGGGTTGAGACTCTAGGTGGGGGCTCCGTCTCAGTCTTTAATTGGCCCAGCTGGAAAGGGACCCCCCTCGTAGGGGGAAAGACGAACAAAATAGGGGGTGGGTGGGATCGAGTTAGCCGAGACAAACTGGGATGATGGGAAAGGCTGCTACAAATAGGCTTCTGGGAAATTAGCGGTGTGGTCGAGGTGAGTGTATTCGCTGGTGAGAGGAGAGGGCGGTTGAGGCGTGGTCCTGCTCCTGAATCTCAGTCAATCATATTAACTACATTTGTTTGGATTAAGTCTTGTCAAAGCATTTTAAGAGGAAAAAGTAGCTTATTCACAGTTTTGCATCCACAAAATATCAAAATAAATATTGTACCGCGAGATGTACATCATGAAAATATCGTATGGAGAGATTTGGATATTGTTACAGTCCGAATCGTGAGCCTCCCCACCATATCATGAGCTTTCCCACGATATCGCAATAAATCTCGTACCATGAGGTTCATACTGTGACGATATCGTATCGTGAGACTTGGATATAGTTACATACCTAAATATTACTACTACTTGTATATTATAAAATGTCACTTTTTCTAACTTTCCATATCTAACCAAGGAAGATGCTCCTAGATGTGCTGGAATTTGGTCATTTACGGAGCGCTCACTCCTGCTCTGCTTGGTCCTGGTTTGGTCCCGTTTTAGTCCTTATATAGAGTAGCCACGGATTAGTCTTGATCTAGTCCTGGTTTAGTCCAAATTTGATCATATTACATTATAAGAAAGGTAAACATGTAAGGTAAATGGTCGCATTTTCATTTATTGGTTTTCCACCTTGAAGACACTCAAAGCGCTTTACATCAAGGAACTACTCACCCACCACACACACACACACACACACACACAGATTCATACAACAGTGTACGCAGACACTGGGGCAAGGTGGGTTAAATGTCTTGCCCAAGGACGCAACAACAGCATTCATCAGTGAGAGCATTTATAGTATGTTCACTGATGTAAAGTAGTCGTGCTTTAGTCGTGCTTTTAATTTGTTGAGTGAGCAACTGTCTTGTTATAGCCTGATTCATTAGCCGGTTTCACTTCGTGGAAACCTCGCAGCATTAGGATTTGTTCGCTCGACAGTAGGCGCACACTTCTTTTTATTTAACCACTCGCTGCAATTTGGTTGTGACGTATGTAATGCGCCTTTAACGGGGCTATAGCTGGTATATTAAGCTTTTCCCAAGTCCTGTAGGAAGAAGGGCAATAATGTCTTTCTCCTTGATAAAACTCTCCAAACATTCTCTTTGTTCCAGCTTTAAATCCTCGATCTCGGGAATCATTGCCAACACAGAATGCATGGCTTCATCTACATCCATCTCGACCTCTTTGTTTACTGTTGTGCTGTACCACAAAAGGGACCCAAATCATGGCTTCACAGCTCTTTGCCGATTGGCCGGTGCATCGTCTACAAGTTCTGGGGTTCTTGGAAATCGTCTAGTGTATTCCATTTCCTGATCTATTTGATGGAGAGAAATGAAATTCAGCAGAGGCACTAGGTGGCGCCAGCCTGGCTAATTGTCTTACCCTTAGATAAGAAAAACTGATTCCTGTTATGGTCATTTAATTATGATAAAATAACTTTATTGAATGCAGTACACATTCAACAGATCATATTGTAGTTTTAATACATGTTAGTAAATGCTTTTGTAAATTCTGTTCTTTAGTTCTGTTATCCACTTGTTTATTTTGTGCTTTTCTGGAAAGTCAATATTAGCCCTGAATTTGGCTAATTTAAAAGAACATTTTGTACACCAAATATGTTCATACCAGGGACAAAAAGTTGAGAATCATTGTCATAAAAACGCATGCAAGATTGATTTCTCTCCTTTACACAATTTCACATCTCTGAGCCATTGACAATCCTAATATTTGACATGTGGCGCTCCAACACTGTCTGTTTACCCTGGGTCTGTATCAGCAGCCATATTAAATGAACTCACTGAAACACCATGGCTTATTTCCACTATCTCCTACTGTAGATACATTCTCAAACAGACTGTTCTCATGCATAATTCCTGTGAAAAACTTCATACAAACATGCCAGGCTTTTGAGTTGGTTTATTCCCAAAGTTTGCCATTTTTAGACAACATTTCTTCAGGCAAAATGAAGAGGATAGGAAAATAATACTTAAAAGTAATAAAAAAAAAAGAAAAAAAAAAGGCAGCAGTCACCGTAAAGATATGTGGTGCAACTTTGCAAACAAAACAGAAAAGAACAGTCTAGATCAGATTACAGGGTCAGTATAGCAGTAAATTGGTTTCCCTGCAGCTTGATTGTCAGTGATAATACACTGTAGTAACATAGGGTGTCATTGACGTGTTTTGTTAACATGCAGAACCACCCCGTCGTTAGATTTTCAATGATAAATGGCTTTTAAAATGCGATACGAAAATATCCCTCAATTTAAGAAACAGTTCGACATTGTGGTTTGTCGGTGTGGTTAGCAGAAGGGCAGAGGCATCCGTGAATCATGTCCAAAAGCCATTTAAACAGTACCATAGAATAGTTTTCCTTCCACTGGACTTATCAACAACTACATATGTCTTGCAGTCTTTTAATTGATACTTTGCAGTGACATCACGCTGGGGGCGTACATCAGTTACAATGATGCAGACATTAGCAAATACAGACAAAAATGTGTTAAGATTGTCTGAAAACTCAGCCGCAACACAGGTGTACCGGTAGGTGGTTTAGTCTTAACATTATGTGTGAGACTTGTTTAAGCTCACAAATCATTTCCCCGGTTTCTCACCCCTTTCTGGTCAGATTGTGTTAAAATAAAGCTTAAATTAAATCTAACTTGAGTAACAGAGCTTCTACCAGAGCACTGCCCATAGTTAGCTTCAAATCTCCCAAAAATTTTCATCAGGTGCAAAGTATCAACAAATTCACATGTAACTTTTCTGTTCTCTCTTTCTCACCTGCTTGTATCCATGTCTGATTACGTTATTGGGTTGCCTAGAATGTTCCAGAGTATGGCATTAAACTTTATGGTAGGTGATGTCAACAGCGCAAATTACAGGTGAGACCTGTGGACAGGCGACTCCACTAATACAAAGAATGTATATTTTTCCAAGGTATTGAGAGCAATAAAACGTTTATTGCCATACTGTGGATCATTTCAGGAAACGCAATAACGTCCCAGTACAGACAAACAGGTAGCAACGTCCAAAAAAAGTTACACATTGCACATTTAACTTATATAAACCTTGGCGCAAATATATAAAACTATAAACAAAGATCAGTAAGGCACTTAAAGGCAAATTAAAACAACCTCACCCACCCATCTTTATATTATACCATAACTAAGAACATGGATAACTCAAAGGAAAAACAAGTAATGGTTACAACAGATTGACTTTAAATATTTCCCAAGTATGTTAACAGTATACAACACTATACAAGTACACATCAGTAAATTGTAATTGTAATTAAGGAAAAGTTATTTCAGATCAATTCAAAGAATACTGTGAAAATATTGAATATAAATAATTTTCAATAGAAATATTTAATACATTTTAATAGGAATATCAGGAGAAGAAAATTTGTATTTGATCAATATTCAATACTGATATTTTTTCCGCTGCCAAATTGTCTGTGTGCCGTTTCTGAACAGACTAATTAGTCAAAATGGAAATAGAAGAGAGTTATACGGCTGTAAGTTTATACAAACATGTAACTAATTATTTTATATCTCAGCTGCATCTTGTCATTACTTTTAGAAAAGTGAAAAGTTAATGTGTGATTTTATTTCAATTTAAGATAAAGTTTTGGGCCTTGCTACATTTTAAAAACTAAATATCAGTTACTGGCCACAGCAGCAAACTAAAAATCTGATATCGTTTCAAATAATCCATAGCGGCTCATCTCAAAGAGTTCATTCACAGTTGCACATCGACTACATCCAAGTTGGATATAAACAGAGACTAATTTTAGGACTAACCTTGGACTTAACCAGGACCAAACCAGATCTACGATCTGACCAACTGACTAAACTGGGCAAGACAAGAACAAGTGTGAACGTACCCTAAGAGATGCTCTACCATATGGGTTAATAAACTGACTATCAACATAAATGTACTTAATATAATAATCTGAGCGTTTAATCCATAATTTTAAAAAAATCTACTGAAATATAATAACTTTTCAATAATAATTCAATCATTTACTGACGTGCACCTGTATGTAACATGCTCTTGTAACATGTATTGTACATAGGCACAGTATACGGCAAAATCAAGTACAAATATGCATACCTTAAAACCAACTTTTACATTCTCCCTTTTGTGAAACACATTTTTAAATATTACTGCAATTTTTTCCCAAACGTTTTGTTCAGAGTCTCTTTATTGTCTATGAATGCACCAGCTTGATGCCCAGGCCAGTGTCCAGTGCAGCGGGCGGGAACCAGGCGAGCTTACACCTCCGAAAACATCTCAGACACACTCCACACAGCCAGAACAGATTCAGCCCGCAGCACCAGTTGGACAAGTGCACCATGGGATATGTAGCCTTCGGAAAGTGGGTCTTCCAGTGCTTGGCGACATCACTTCCTGTTGGCAGGTGCAGCGTGTAGTCGCTCCAGCGCTTGGACACACCGTAAATGGCGGAAACGGAGCGAGCCTTGTCTGACCACTGGCAGTTGGAATCGGGGTTGCAGTTGAACTCTACCCACTCAGCGGTGAAGTCTCCGAGGCATGGGATCTCGCCAAGCTCCGGGTCCACTCTGGTGTGGGTTAGCTCTGCCCCCTGCACGGCCACATACACGCCGTCCACTCTCCGGATGTCCCTGACCCACGGGAGGGAGTTTTCAGTGTCCAAAACGATGATTAGCCGTGCACAGTGGCCAGCGTTTTTCTCCTTCCATAACTCCAATAACTGGGCCAGGTGGAGACTCTCATTACCTGCAAAAGAGGATTAAATATATTATTCAGGACACCCCGGGGCACAAATGAAGACTTTGGAAGGCCGTTTGTGAAGGTTGGGCAATATGAAGAATTAATATGTTTGGATTTTTCTAAACGCAAGTTAAAAAGAAAAGGTTTCCCAGGTAGTCATCTGGACACTGTTTTTGAAATAAAGACGTTTGGGCTCCTGTCCAGAAGCCATTTTCATTTGTGATTTGATTCAGTCTTTGATGTCCAGATGATGTCCAAAAAGAAACATTTTCTACATTGGTCTTCTCCTTGACAAATGAAAGTTTACACAGGCTTGTTTCTGAATGTAAGTAGTATATTGTATTTTACATGTTTTTACTGCATTCATTGTGTGTGTTTTATTTGTGATAAAAATGTATAATAAAACTAGTACTGACATTATCATTTGAGCAGAAAACAATAATGACCTTATCCAGGATGACAAGATGGAAGCAATGGTTTCAAAAGTAACAGGGACAATGTTTTTGGATCAAGACCTTTTGACCGTCTGAAAGTCATGGACATTATTTTGTGATAAAAATCATATTGTATTGTATAAAACAAAGAGTGTTTTTATTATCACGGTAAGATCCAAATTGTATTTTGAGTATCAAGCCTTTTCCTTAGTACCAAAATCACAATAGTACTGCAACGTACAACCCTGAGTATGACCGCAAGTACACATCAACATTAGGACTGGGTATCATTCAGAAGTATGACACTTTCAATTCGATACGATTCAATACGATATATTTCAAATCAATTTGATATGGTTCATTAAAAAATAAAGACTAAATCATGGCTTTGATACTAAAAGTGTTTGTTAAACCACTTCTTGTGCAAAGTGAATATAAAACACACCCATTTTAATCATAAAAACTGTGAAAATGTCAAATGTGTTGCATAAATGAGATTCCTTCCACTAAACAAAAATGTAGCTATGTAACAAAATAATTTAGTAAAATATACCAAAAAATACTCTTGGTGATATATCGATACAGCAGTTCACGATATCAATACTGTATCATCACATTAAATTATATGATATATCGATATTTAAATTTTTTGCAGACCCCTAATCAACATTATTTTTACTTGAGAATTATGTTGTATTGTATTAAATAAAGCATTTTTGATATAATTGTGGTATCAAAATCTGCATTTAGTATCAAGCCCTTTAATTTGTAAAAACAAACAAACACAAAAAAAGTTAATAATTTTAGACAATACTAAACATAAATACCATCACCAGTATGTGCCTGTACCACACTTGAGAAGCCCTGCTCTGTGCTGTGGTGGAGTCTTGTTCAAGGGCGTCTGAGGCGGGACACAAAGCTGGTGATGGACAGTGGCTTTACAGGGATCAAACCCGTCACCTCGGGCTGTCTGTCTGTCTCTCTGCTGTCATGTCAAACCCACAAACAGCACCCAGTGGCTTCCAGATGGTACAGCCAAGAACAGGAGCAGAGGTGGGCGCTCTCAGCGTCATCTCCAGATAGAAAACACTGGTCACTTAAACCTGGGGAACGCTCCTTTTAATGAGTTTAGTGTTTTACCCCAAGTGCATGCTCTCAACATCTAATAAAAATTATTTGTATTTCTCGTCAACCTGGAAGTGAACACCTTAAACAGTGCTCTGATTGAAACTGTGGTGGACTGCAACCAATGCACCATTTGAATTTTTTCTGCCTAATGTTATTTCTAAATGGCATTTTCCATTATTATTTAATATTGTTCTTAATTTCTTTCAATCACTAAGCTTTGTAGGGGTGTGCAAAAATATCGGAATATCGATATATCGTATCATTTAATGTGATGATACAGTATCGATATCGTGGGCAACTGTATCGATATATCACCAAGAGTATTTTTAGGTGTGTTTTACTAAATTATTTTGTTACAGAGCTACAGTTTTGTTGCTTGTGGAGTAAAAGGAAGTTCATTTATTCAACACATTTGATATTTTTACTGTTTTGATGATTCAAATGTTTGTGTTTCATTTGAACTTTGCACAAGAAGCGGTTTAACAAAGACTTTTAGTGTCACAGCCATGATTTAGCCTTTATTTTTTATTGAACCGTATCGAATCGATTTGAAATATATCATATTGAATCGAAAGTGCACTGTATCGAGATATGTATCGTATCGTAGCCTGTGTATCGAGGTATGTATCGTATCGGCAACTTCTTAATGATACCCAGCCCTAAAGCTTTGAGGAACTAATTTTGTCAGGTCATGTGTTTTATCGCATAATGAAAGAAAATAAAGAGTTTTCAACCTTGTAAAGCTGTTCTAAAGGCATCTACATGAACGAAATCAAACACTGGATATTAATAATGTGCTAATGGGGTTTGTGAGAGATAGGATTTAAATACCCGCTTCCTCCTGCTGTGTGAAGACCAGATACCCCAGCTTTAAATAGGAGGTGATACTGATACTGTAAACTAATAATACATTTGATGGACATGTCAAGGTTTCCCCAGATGTAAAGAAAATTGTGGCCCCAGTAGTCCACTTTCCACCATCAATAGTCCTTAAATACGTTCTAAGCTATAAAAAGAAGTCAGAAAAGTACTAAATGTGTTCTAAAACTACAGTGTGGCGAGAAGAGACAACTTAATTATACAGAGGTACAACTCTTTAATTGAAGGTCCCTATAAGGAGTATAGAGTGTCACTATAGTATCACCATAGTCTAAGTAAAAATGTGGGAAGTACAATGGAAATGGTAGAATATATTCCTAATTCATGTGCAGATGCAAAGTTTTTTCATGAAGCTAAACCTCTAACTGTCCAATAATAACATCGACTCTTGAGATTAAAACGTAAACAACAACATCTACATTGCTTTTAAAACGTTACTAGTTCATGCAAGTTTTCATAGAAGACTGTTCATGGTCATCAGCTTCCTGTAGTACGTGACGTGACATTTTTAAACTTTTTGGAACTTTTCACAGTCCAAAAGATATAATATTTCGGTTTGAACTGCTAAATTTAAGTTGCTATGGTAACAGTCATAACTTTTCATTATTCTGTAACCTGCTGATATCTCCCAAATTAATGTGGAGAGCGGGTCAAAACGTATCAGTTTTTGTTTCAGACGGATAGGTCAAGTAATTACAAAGTTCAACTTGTCTATTAGAAAAACCTTGAACATTTTCAAAAAAGTGTCGTCATTATTCATTCACAAAGATGTCAGTTAAGACTTAGAGCCAATAATGATAATGTCTATTACTATATTTCTAGATTTTATTTTACTTACTGTACCTTTATATAATTATGCTTTCCTTGACACCAGTCTCTTGCTATTTTTGCTACTTATTTTGAAATTAATATTACCATTACAATTAATATTACATCATTTCCCTTATGGATCAGTAAAGTTTGTCTAGGTGTATGTCTATGTCTTGTGGATTTTCAGTCAGGATTAAAATTTTTTAAAACTATCAAATTGCCCATAGAGTTTTATTAGCCCATGCCCTCCATCTGAAACCATGTCATCCTATTCTAAAAAGTTGTGAAGGCGCCCAACTGTGAGAGTCCACTGGAAGTTTTTAACACTGTAGTTGCGATACTTTTTAGCTTGAAAATGAAAATGGAACAGTAAGTATAAGGGACTGGAGACGTTTTTGCCTAGACTTTCTTTAATGAGCCCCGAGACCACCTTCAGTACCAGTAAGATAATAAGACAGCTCTCACAAACAAACAACTCAAAAATAAAATGTCTCTCTAAATGTGGACTTCAAAAACAAACGGATCCCAATTTGGACTCTTGCCAAAAACAGAGCGAAAATCGTCAAACTGGGAACAATTATCCCCCAGGAAACATCGCCGCGCCGCCTTGGGTTTGGTGACATGGGGAAGCATTATCTTTTCAAGGGGGATTTTTATTCTTGTTTGCAGCGGGTGTGGAGATAATGTGTCAGTGTAATCTGGCAACAGAAGAGCCGGGGCTGACACAGTGTTAACCTGCTGCGGATCTCATCTCTCTTCGGGGGATGACGCTAAACTCTGCAAAACGTCTCCAAGTTTCCCAGAATCCCTTTTCTCTGCAGGCGAACTTCAGACAGATTCATCAAACTATTTCTCTTATGTGATCTTTGCAAATCAGTTTCTAATTGACTGAGGGGCTGGAGGAGAAGAAATGGATGTGGGCACTGTCTGATTGTAATGCAAATGGCTCTGGGAGGAGAAATACCTGGAATGTCTTATCTCCAAAATCTAAATTTGTAATGCGTGGCATTGTGGTGATAAAAAGCTATTCTTAATAAATTATACTTTTGCTTTTTCATAATAAGCTGGAAAAGACAATCTCAAACCAAAAGTGGAATGCTAATGGGAATTTTCATATTTCTAGATTTCAGTTAAAAAGCTGCATTATGTAACTTTTCTGGTGGAGGGTTTGCCACTTTCTTGTTGCTATAGAGATGTTGTTACTTTTAGGCATGCACTGATCCAGCTTTTTCAGTTCCGATACTGATTTTGATAATAGGGATGGGCATTTGATTAAATTTTCTTCATCGATCAAATTAATGATTGATTATAGATTAAACACTAACGTTTTTATCTTAAAACTATTATCATTATTATTACTATTACTAATTTGCATAAATAAACTAAATTTTACAACATATAAACCATAACCACTATAGAGCCACATCAGCCCTTTGACATTATAGGTTGTATAGAGGATTTTCCAAGGAACGAGAAATCCAGCGACTGTTTGTCCTTTTTCAAATGTTGCGAATGCGTGAAACCACCCCCCCTCCCCTACAGCTCCCTACGTAGAAACGCCTCCTCCCGCCTCCTCTTTACGCCAGAAACAGGTTTGTTTACAGCCGGTGCGCTGCACATGACTTGTAAACAACTAACTACAGTGTTGGTTAGGCAAGGTGGAGAAGTGAGGAGCGGGGGGAGCGGGTGTGCGGACATTTCGTTCGCGGACGAGAAGTGAGGAGCAGGGAGAAGAGCGGAGCAGGGAGAGAGGAGAGGAGAGAGGAGAGGGGAGCGGTGCACGGAGATTCCGTGCCCGGAGAAGCGAGGAGCAGGGGGAAGAGCGGAACGGGCAGCGGGGACAGGAGCAGGAAAGGGGTGCAGAGAAGGGTGCGCGGAGATTCCGTGCGAATGAACTAGCTACAACACGCAGCAGCAAGCGGACTCTTTCTTTGCACTGAAAATTTCAGACATAGGATATCGCTTTCGTGTCCTGAAAAACGTTTGACTAGCTCTTGGAAATAAAGTACGTTTTCATAATAAGCAGAAGTGACCTGTCCAGGAGTAATTTGTGGACCAGTGCGTCAGTCTTTAGACCCTGCGTCTGCTTCAGTCGCGCCATCGCTGGAATGAATCTATAAGAATCACCTCAGTTTGGCTTCGCTGCTTTTCCCCTTGTCTTCTTCTTTCAGCGACCTCAAAAACGGACTTTCTTTTGCGGCTAACTGCTCCTGGATTCTTGTCTGCCATTGCAACAAACTTTGTGCTAACTGCGAGGAAGATATAGGTCAAAAAAAGCCGCTAAGAACTGTTGCGTTGGTGGAGTAAACAGCGTCTGTGCGGCTTGCGTCTGTGGACTGCGTGACAGGCGTACGTAAACCACGTACCGGCGACGCGCAGGCAAGTCAGTTACGCTAGAAACGTAGGGAGATTGATTGACAGCCTGTCAGCTAACAGATAACGAGGCAGTGTCGTTATCTATTGGCAAATGTTTAGCTGGCCCCACCACGTGCAGAGTTGATGAATTTTTATTCTCTTTTTTTTGGTCATAATAATTACAAGGCTACTGCACCTCTATAATGCTATCATTGACAACTTGAAACAAAAAAAAATCCTCCATACAACCTTTATGTGTTTAATGCAGCTTTGCGCACATTTGTTTACGTTTTACAGAAACAAAACTTAAAATCACATGGCTAATTTGCATAAACTGTAAACGCTGAAAAAACAGCTCTTTCCTTGTGTTCTGATGGACTAAAGGACACGACTCAGTGGAATATGAATGTTCTCTCTGTGACAGAGGGATGTTGATGATGATGATGTTGAGTCTGTTCTGTGTGTGTGTTGTGTTGGAGATGGTTCATGTTTTCAGAGATCAGTTGTGTGCAGGTTTAGCGCAGCAGCTCTTTATTTAACAGTCATTTCAATCACTTTATTTATGTTGGTCACTTTATTCATTTTGGCTACTGTTGTGATAAAAAGACTTTGTGTTTGTCTTTTGGATGCATGCGCACTCAACTTTATTTTGCAGTAACCGTGGCGCAGTACACATGCACCATGACGAAACTCATGGTGCACGGATAGTCAAAAAACCTGATCATACCCTGGACACTGATGTGCATGTAAACACACTCATTGAGTTGTACACTGATCTCCAAGGAGGTACCAGAGCCGAGATGTGGGACTGTGAGGCCGTAACTCTAGTGTTTGTCCTGTCAGACGCAGCTTCGTCTGGCACACAGCAACCTGCATTCGGTTTGTTGATTAAAAATAAATGTGATCGACGAAATTCTTAGAGATGAATTATTGATTAGTCGACTAATCATGCCCATCCCTATTTGATACTATAACTTTTAGCATCTGCCGATATTCAATATCAACAGACACTAGTGCAAAAGCTGAAACTAAAATAAAAGAAGGTATAAATACTTCAAATGTGTAATGTAGCTTATATTTATGCCTCATGTAGCTACCAAACAGCTTTATAATATAGTATAATTCAAAGTTCAAACATTATGAGACTTTCTAGACCAACTATGACCAGTAAACATCTTATTAAATTAAACATCTTAGTAAATGTCTTATTAAATTAATTCGTCTGTTCAACCAAGATGTTCAAAGCCGATATCCGATCCAGCAAATTGTTCAGTATGGGCGGCAATATTTGATACCAGCTGCTTTGCGTAAAATGTTACACACAGTGTGGCATTAAAATGATCTAGCTCCATGGAGACAAGTAGGTGAAGCCAAAAGGTCAATTTATAGGTCAGACCACTTATAGTACCAATGAATATATTTCAAGGTATTCTAGCAAAAAAAAAAATCATCTGTAATTAAATAAATGCTAAATGGATTTGTTTAATGCCTAACTGTAAAACATTCCAGATAAATAAATGACAAGTAGGTGACAGCCCCTCCATCAGAAAAGTTACATAGTGTGACTTTAATATTATAATCAAAACTAACAATGCTCAATAAAAAGTTAGATAAAAGAAATCTAAATTTAAAAACATGTTGATACAGTTTTGTGGCTGTTTTCATTTAATTGTCCTTCAGCTGTGGACATACAAAATGCAGAAAGACATTAACCAAGGCTGAGTCTTCTGACCTGGTCCAATCCACTCTGCATAATTAATTGGATCATGTAAATTAAACACTTTAATTGCACCTGCATGTCAGTAAACAATGCATGTCATAATTGGTTTAAATTATGCATGTTTCATTTGGTGGGGGAAATTATATTGTTGACAAATTGCTCTGCACCTCTGTGCAAGACACTAAAAGAGACCGTAGATACAAATTACTACAATTAAGTTAAATAATAGCCACTTCAGATGTTGCCTTAAGAAATTGTGTTTTAATATATACTAGTATTTTGTATCCATTATTAATGTTGGTCAGAACCTTTAAAAGAGCAGCACACTGCTTCTTCTTACCAAGTAATTATGAACTACAAACTGTAAAATTATAGAGTTTAATTTTAAGTAGACCCCCCCCCCACCCCAAAAAAAATAAATAAAAAATCTTTAAAAATAAAATGTGACATTGACAAAAGATTATGAATATATTTTGTGTGCAAGTAATGGAATAAGGACATTTTTATTTCTTTTTTTTTTGGAGCTTTTTGTAGACTTTTTGCTTCAGTACATGATGTACTCTCTATTCTAATTTTCCATATCTTGAAACCCACATTTTCAATTATAGTTGATTTAAATGTCTTTCTTCTTTATAGTGAAATAAATACAGTCAATAGCCTTAAAATAAATATATATACAAAATAAATATACCTCAAAAGTTGGTTTATCTCACCTATTATAGAAATCTTAAGTCTATAAATGTCTATTAAACATGACTGAATATTTGGGCAGTAGTCAAAAAGTCTTGGTTGACTTAAGACATGTCCTGCAGATCAATTAGTTGACGAAAATAAGAGGCAGCAAAAGCTCTCAAAACGAATCAATATTTTTGTGTATCTGACCCCTACTGTACCCATGAGACAACTATTTATGCTGGAAAAAAGTACTGGGAATGTATGTACAATCCCTCACTCATCCAGGTAGAATCCATGGCAAAGGAGAAATTCAATTTGTCAACTGGACAAAAGTTTTTCACTGAACTCACCAACTCAAGAACTCAAGAACTCACTGTATTACAACATAGCCCAGCAATATATAGTGTATTTTCCGGGCTTTTGGGCGCGCTTTTAAGCCTCCAACCCCATCAAAATACGACTGTGCACCCCGCAATCCAGAGAGCCCTATACACAAATCCACTCTGGTGTCCCAGCACGACTTCAGTAAACTACAAAGCCACAACACCTGCGGGGCACGCAAAGACACACGGAGCAGACAGTGACCGTGCAGCGAAAAACACCCACAGCCACACTCATCACTCCACGTGGATGAGGAATGGAACGGAGGAACGAACCAAAAAAGCGAGTGCAATGTGCCACTTCTAGCCACAACTGAACAACTGCGACGAGTCACTGCGAACACGCCAACAATCCAGCGGTCCTACGTGTCACAACTGAACAAAGCCGAGAGTCACCGTGAATGCGCCAAACAAAGTCCCACTGACCCATCCAATTGTTGTGTTTTGTTTAAAGTTCGGTGTGGTTTATTTGGAAAAAAGTTTGAAAAGCGACCATTCTATGACAGTGCGCCTTACAATCCAGACGCCTAATAGTGTGGAAAATACGGTACTATAAAGCATTTGTGTGGAGTCCTCACCAGCCAGAGCCCAGGACCCAGTGGCTTTGTGCGTGTGCCCGCTGTAGAAGACCAGGTAGGTGTCATGACGCGGTCCGTCTGCCGTCCGAAGCTCCAAGAAGCTGCGCAGTTTGTTGAGTGTGGCCTCCAGAGTGAGACCGCTGGTGGAGTAGTCGCAGCCAAAGGTCTGGACCATGTGGTGGGAGAAGAGACGCTGGACACTGTTGAGCATCCCTGTGGCCCGGACGTTCAGCTGCTGCACCTGGTCTGGAGGTAGCAGGGCGGGCTGGCCATCCACGCTGAAGAGACAGAGAAGAGAAAAGAAAGAGTCATGAAATAATAACTACTGATCATGGATGGGTAATATCGACAAAAACATCTTAATATTCTTTTTGGTATTATGTTTTAATATTATTGATGTATTGGATTTATATAACACCTTTTTAAGATGCCCAAAGAGCTTTACAGAGAATTATTAATTCACTCCACAGAAAGTTAGTATTGTAGCCACAGCTGCCCTGGGGTAGACTGACAGAAGCGAGGCTGCCAGTCAATGCTGATGGCCACTTTGACCACGACCAACACTCAGACACTCAAATCAGAAAGAGTCTCACATGTCTCTCATTTCTATCATGCTACATAGGTCTACAAGAACAGTTGACAGTCAAGATCAGTTAAATACAATCAATCAATGAACCTGCCCAGGGATTACAGGTGGAAATGAGCACTCATGCTACAACCTGATGTACAGTGCTGTCCCTGTCTCAAATAAATGAATAAATAAAAATCTCCTTGTTACCTATACACCAGCACCTGCACCAATCCTGAATCCGTGCTAGTGCAGCCTCTGCAGTTTAGCGAGTGAGTTCTGGAAGTTCTGAGCTTTCACATGAGACATGGCCTTTCCACATACTCAGAAAAACATGTATGTATCCTCCTCTGTATGCACGTTTAGACACGATAGCAACCCAGATTCACTGTGCAGGCTACATATAGGTTGAATGATTCATCAGCTGGTTTCACTTCGTAGAAACCGTCTGACCTAACAGCATTAGAATTTGTACTTTTTTAATTTAACCAGTCACTGCTATTTGGTCATGATGGATGTAATCCGCCTATAATGAGGCTAACTGGTATATTAAGCTTTTCCCAAATCCCGTAGGAAAAAGGGCAATAATGTATTTCCCCTTGATAAAATTCAAACATTCTCTTTGTTCCATCTTTAAATCCTCGATCTCGGGAATCGTTGCCATCACAGAATGTACGACTCTTTGCTGATGCCCGAACTCACTCTTCCGGTGTTTTTGTGAACCATCTAGTGTATTCTGATTCCTGACACACTCGCTGGAGAGAAATGAAATTGAGCCTGGCTAACATACAAGTCCTTTAAACAAATCTTGGTTGAGATTTTAGTATTGCACAAAATGTGATAATGTCATAACATTAAACACAAAAAAGCGGAAATATCACTTTATATCCTCTTTTTGGAGATAATACAACACACATAAAAAATAAACTGATTTCTTTTTATATGGGTGAACACACCATGAGAGAGAGAGAGAGAGAGAGAGTGCCAAAAAGAAATCAGAACAACATTCTTGTGTGTAACTGCATTTTTTAAGGTGACTTGTGTTGAGTGGTGAAGGAGAGAAGAGACACACGCAAAAGGGAGATAAATGAGTGAAGAGTTGATAGTTTGACACAGAGGGGCGGAGTAACTGTCTGCAGCACGGAGGAGAACCCAAACATGACAGGAGGGGGTGAGGAAGAGGGAAAGAGGGGAGGAGGTGAGAGAGGAGGGGAGAAAGAGAAGGAGGGAGAAGGTAGAGAAGACAGGAGGGGTGAGAGACAGAAAGGAAGGGAGAGAGAGAGGAGTTGTGAGAGAGAGAAGTGGGAGGAAGGGAGAGAGGATGGAGAGAGAACGAGAGACTGGAGGGGTAGTGTGGGAGAGAGAGGGATGAAAAAGAGGAGGGGGTGAGAGAGGAGGCAGTGAGAGTGAGAGAGAGGACCAAAGGGAAAGGAGGTAGAGAAGAGGAGGGGTGCAGATGAGAGAGACAGAGAGAGAGAGATAGGAGGATGAGTGGGAAAGGAGGGTTGAGGGAGAGGAAAGGGTGCTACTATTCTGTCTGAACCTGTACGGCCCTTTTACCTTGTACTATTATTAAACTTTTTTTTTTTTCAAAAGAGAGAAAAGAGGTGAGTGAGAGGAGAGGTAACGGAGAGGGGAATGACACACACCTCTCAGTGTTGAGCTCAAAAGAAAATTTATTGACTGAGAAAGACTTTAGAAAGATGAAAGATTAAAAAAAAAAAAAAGTGGTGGTCTTTAACTGTTCAAATAAAACACATCAAAACCGGGTCTACACTGGGACTGAACCAGGACTAGACCAAGACTTATCCAAGGTTAGAACAGATCCAAATCAAGTCTATATCAGAACTAAACCATGGCAAAACCAGGGTAATCACAGCCCAAGATAGTCTTTAGCACAATGTCTATTCTTGTCCCTTATCTTTTCACAGTTATCTCAGTGTTACTTGTAAATTTCACAGTTATGTTTTACGCTACTGCTCTGTCTGCACTTGAATTACCCTTTTACCTTGTGCTATTATTGTTGTTAAAAATAAAATGATTTGTTTTAAAGAGATGAGGGAGAGAAGGAGGGAGGGAAGGAGGAGGGGAAGAGCACGCACCTCCGAGGGCAAAGCTCAAAAGAAACCTGCAGAAAGACAAAAGTCATCTTAACACGTTTGTCGCAGTTACACACACATCACATCAAAACTGGGACTATACTGGAACTAAATTTGGAGCTAAACTTTATACTAGACCAAGACTAAACCAGGACCAAAACAAATTTACATCAAAACTAAACAAGGACAAGTCCAAACACAGACTATCGACAGCCAAGTCAAGGGCAAATCTTATACAACTGCACACTATACACTGGTGTCATGAATTGCCAGAAATTTAACCTCTGCTTAAGTTGTATGTGGGCAGTAGGAAGGAGGGTGGGGGTCACAGTTGTATGTACCATGTTTTATTTCAAACCCCTTGCCATGAAAACACAATCTGGGAAATAAGTGTAGTAAGAAAAAATGTATACGCACTTTTTCTTCCAATGCACGTTTTCTGGGAGAAGCATTTATTACTTTAACAAATTGCTTACTTTTCTTCCATATCTTTTTTCCGTCATCTTTGTGTTACATTTCACAGTCTGCATTTGTATTTGCTTTTCACCCGACCTGCTGCTGTTTTATTAAGAATTTGTTCAGTTACCTGGGTGAATAAATTGGCAGTCCAGCTACCATGGAGACACAAGGCACACAATGGCAAACACTGTTAAAAAAGATTTAAGATCTTCTGTCTTAAAAACTCAAGAAAAAAAACAATCAACAAAACTATATAAAATTCAACTGACACCCATACGTATTAAATTGATCCTTTGCAGAGACATTACACTGGGGGTGTTCTACATTTATCTCTATGTTGACATAATGCACAGATTAGCAGAAAAATTGGTCATATTGGTCCTGTTTAGGTGTTTGATTTTCAACAAAAAGAGTGACTCAAAAAAAGTGAAAAACTGTTGGCTAATGCTAGGGTGTGACTGTAATTTTATGTGTGAGACTTGTTTAAGTGCACAAATCATCTCATCTGTTGTAGTTTCAACCAAATCAGCTCTTATTGGTCAGAATGAGTTAAAATAAAGCTCAGATTTAGGTTCCGTTTACACTTGAAACGAATTATTGTATCACTTATCACCGTATCGGAAACTATTTGAGTCCAGACACGTCGTTTCTGTGTCCGCAATCAAAGCCTTCCCTATAGGCCTTAAATGCTAGTCACATGATTAGGCTGGCGTCACAACGTCACGTCGGTGGCAAACACAAGGAAATGGAGCACCGTGTCTGAAGTTGCAGCAGCCGATTTCGAGCCGAGGAAAATGGCAAGCATGAAAACAGTCTTTTCAGGAACCGACAAGGCGGTTCAGGTGTTACTAAACATAACTGAATTTTAAGACGAGCATGGCGGCTCAGAGTGTGGATGACCAATGACACGAACCCAGCGAATCAGGAAGGCACAAGTCTCAGTAACGTGGTCCAATAAGGACAGCAACTTGAGCGCCAACATTAGGGTATCAACGTTTTCAGGCATCCACACAGTCAGATCTGTACTTGGATGAATTTGTGTGAGCTCGCGGCACCAGATCGTTCTGTCGCTCGAGCTGTTTTTCATCAGATTAGTGTGGACGAACACTGCATCTGCAATGAAAAACGACTAATACATACTGTGGATGGGGCCTAAGTCTATCTTGAGTAACATAGCTTCAGACAGGGTAGTGCTTCAGTTAGCTTCACACATCCAGGGCATGTTAATGATCAGCTGCAAAGTATCAGTACGATTGGCCAAGAATGTTGTGACGTTATCTGAAACCCAACAATAAGTTGCCAGCAGCTGCAAAATGATTTAACCAACTTCCATTTCAAATCGAAGTGCTGACATTGTCCAGTGGTTTTGAGTAGAGTTTTTGAGGCGCTCCTGTCCTTGAATACACTCCCAAATGACTCAGCGGGCCTACACTATCGTATTGGACAGAATTGATGTGTGGTTCCCTGGCTGACAACCTTGACGCTCCTCCTATAAAGATATACTACACTTAATGCCGGACACCTCTGCATGGCCTGGCGCGCATCCCCACTCACCTAAAGCCATCTAATCTTTTCTGCTCTTGTGGCGCCCGGGGGAACCAGGCCTTGAAGTTTAGCATTCACACCACATCGCCGGCTCCACTTCTATCCTTAAAAGTCTTGTTCCTTTTATTCAGCAGACTGTTCACATTTTGGTATGCTTAAAACGCATTTTAGGGCTGCACAATAACATAAAAAATATATATATCATCACTGCATTGTCAGCATATGTTAAAGGCACTGTACTGCGTTTTTCCCATGTATTTGAGCTAAATATGTCTTGCCCCAGTATGGTTTGTATAAGCGGCTCTTGAGGTCAAAATATCTGTCTGCTGTGCGTTAGCATGCTAGTTGTTGTTAGCTTTACCATGACAGCAAAAGGCAGCACTGGTCTCAGAGTTGTGAAAAACGCTTATAAAAACTTATCGTGGTGAATAATTAAGGCTCAGCATGAATACGGCAAGTGACCCCAGCAAACAATTTAAAATGGTAAAAATCAGCACCTTAATCATTTTGCATTAAAGGGACAGTCTATAATTTTGGACATAGGACCTCAGTTTCTAGTGAGTCAGAGTGTTGGAGAGGTGTAGAGACACTTTTTTAATATTCCATC